TTTTTAGAACAAATATAGGCTATATTTATGATGACAAAAGACATTATTTTAATGAAGAGAGTATCATTTTCATTATACATTGTAATAACAACCATTATTTCAGTATCTCGCTTATAATTATTTTGTTGAATTAAATATTTCTTTCCTACAAACTCATCCGGATCACATGTAATTGCAGTATATCTTATATGTGTAAATTCTTTGCTGGATTCGAAGAAAATATTACGAAGCATTGTCTTAGGTATAGGAGAGTCGAATGCCAAGTTTCCTTTTGTAAGCTTGACATCCTGAGAAAATATAAATAAAAGATAAATAAACATTAAATAAATAGTGAGATTTGTAAATTAAAATTACCTTCTCGCGTTTAGTTACTTTGATTTGGTACATTACAAATTTTTAAGAACAAAAATAATATTAACATTAATGTTAATTTCTTAGTTGATAAATTTAAAAACCAGAATATTTACCTGTTTTTGGCATAATTAAAAAGAATACTTGTTTCAGAAAACAGTATAAGATCAGTTTTATTTCTTTCATAAGTTTTGGATTCCTGAATATGCAAGAAAACGAATAGTCAATCTTTATTGATTTATCTGCAAGTTAAATTCAATTAATTGGTTAATGATAATTAAATTTTTAATCGAAACTTTTCAAGTGTATAAATTTAATTTAAAAATACAGTATGCTATGGTTTTAATATTGATTTGAATATTTTTTGAAAATTATTTCTTTTCAATTATTAATCAATTTTAAATTGTAATATTTTTTGAAGTTATTTCTTTCAATTACAGTATTTATCAATTTAACTTGTAATTAGCTATAATCCTCTATTATTATATACTCTTCTTAACAGTATTATTCTAAATTGAATGATTAAACAATGTATTATTAAAATTCTATATAGTTATAGAATCAAATTAAACTTTTTTATAATTTTACTTAATAGTCAAAATTTTTTTATTAAACTTACAAAGTGTATTATCTTCAATATACGTGACATTCATAGAGATGTGAACTATAATCTACGATTAAAATAAATAAACAATAGTTTACTCTCTAACTGTAATTAATTATAGTTTTAGAGTAAACTAGTTTATTTATTATAATAATTTGCAACTCTAATCATTCATGTCATGTTATTATATTCCAATTATAATGAAAATGATACTCTCTTCATTAAAATAATGTCTTTTGTCATCATAAATATAGCCTATATTTGTTCTAAAAA